AAAAAAAAAAAAAAAAAAAAAAAAGAGGCTTGGTGGTTTTTTTTTAATCCTATGACAGCATTTTAAGATATTGCCAAACTTTCTAAGGCAGGCATGTCAAACTGCCGGCCCGTGGACCAGATGCATCATACTGAAACTGCGCCCAGCCCATTGCCAGCAATGGGGAAAAAGTCGTGATACGTCGTGCGACGTCACATGCCTGTTCTAAGAGATGGCTAGCAGCAGCTAGAATGGACAGTCATTCCATCTTTCTTTGAAGCTCCAGGGGATAAAATATGACAGCAAGGAGCTTGTTTCGTGTTCCCAATGCTTCCCAATAGTCACAACCCTCAACCCATTTCAGGTTTTGTCTTGTCAAATGCAACAGACCCAAAATGTTTCATGCACTGTTTTATTCTGAGCTGGAAGCAAAATACATTTTCCATTACATGCACATTCTTATCTCTTTACCCCTTTACCCCCATTCCAAACAGAGATAGCCAGGGCTTTTTTTGTCATAGAACGCCCAGAACAGAGTTCCGGCACCTTTTTTGGATGGAATATTGTAGGGTAGGCAAGGCAAGTTGTATGACGTGTGTGAGTTCCGGCACCTTTTTTTTTTTAACAAAAAAAGCACTGGAAATAGCATGTATGTGTATGAAGGGGTTACATCCTCTATGCTCAGTTTCTCATCCCACCACTTCTGCCCAACATTGCCTCACTTTTCCTTTTGCCCAATATTCCCTCACATTTCTTCATGTAAGAAAAATTAGCAGAGTTGTCAGAGATCTAACTTCCTTCAGTCTGGGACAAAAAAAGAACTATAGGAAACAAGTCATTCTTTATCTTCCTGATGCTCTCCAAGGTTTTGTGCTACAGAACTCAAAAACCAACTGAAGAATAATCTGACCTTAGTTTTTATGTCAGAGACCAGTCTCTGTCTTAAGGAGCTTGCCTTGAAGGAGTTCTATACTATATGGCTTAGTAACTGCCATAAAAATGCTGTTGTTTGAAATAATGCTGTTGTTTGAAGTATAGTGGTTGATACTAATAATTGTAGTATAGTGGTTGATACTAATATATAGTGGTTGATACTAATAATTAAAGCAGAGCAAAATAAATAAGGTCAGGTTTGTGGGATAAGACCAGACTTTACATATGCCAGTTCAGTCAGCAGCAGAGATAGAAGCAAATAGTCTCAACATAGGTTTCAACTGCTATGATTTTCTTAATCTTTTCATCGAACCATTCTACAAAACATTCTTTCAAGATGAACTCTGGACAATAGTCAGACAAACATACTGGGGTTTGTGAATTAAGTGAGAATTGGAGAGTTCTAAATCATACTAAGCCAAAACCAAGAACATCACATGAACGCACACCCTGACATTTGCAAATTCAAACACTCCTCTAATATTTTAAATCCATTACGGATTCTTTTCTTTTCTTTTTCGAGTCAAAGCTTTGTGCTTCAGACTTCCTGTTTCTATTCCATCTCTCTTGATTAGCCCTCTTCTGATTCTCAATATCCCAGTTTTCTGGAATCTGTGTTCAAACCTTTTTCGGAATATATAGGTTTAGTCTCTTACCTGCAATTGACTCTACCTTTGGACAAGCTTGCCTATGCTCCACCCTGACTTTAATCTTAACCCTGCCAGAATTTTCACTTTCAGCTTTCCTGCTTATAAGTCTATCAGTAACAAGTATACAAAAGGGGGAAAATCCCTAAAAAATAAAAAAAGCAGCATCTTATAAAATCCTACCAAATTTTCTATTGATGATTGAAATTGCTTAATTTCACGGAGGGTTTCATTATCTCGCTTCACTTCATTTACATATTGTGCCAAGTCCTAAAACCACAAAAAAGAAAAACAAATTTGGTATGTAACAATGATTGATTAAATATTTACAGTTGATTCAGGGCTGAAAGCCAGTCATGTCCAATTTTTTTTAAAAAAAGCATTTATTTTTATATGAATATTTTCCTATTATACAAATTTTTGCATAGAGTATATGAGCCAAATACAACATTACATTTTTAAAAAAGCAATCAAAAGATAATCAAGGAGAGAAGCAACCTAGAACTAAGGAGAAACTTCCTGACAATTAGAACAATTAACCAGTGGAACAACCTGCCTCCAGAAGTGGTGAATGTTCCAACACTGGAAGTTTTTAAGAAGAGACTGGACAGCCATTTGTCTGAAATGGTATAGGGTTTCCTGCCTGAGCAGGGGGTTGGATTAGATGACCTCCAAGGTCCCTTCCAACTTTATTATTATTATTATTATTATTATTATTATTATTATTATTATTATTATTATTATTATTATTATTATTATTATTATTAATGTATTCTAATTTTCAATTTAATTTAGGGAGTGTGACTTAGGTCAGATTGCTGGATTAATTCTTCCCTGTCCCTCTACTGTAATTGAAGCAACTATACATTAAATGACAGCATGGGCATATTGGAAAAACTATGCTACGCACAGTAACCTTATTATCATCTTCACATCCTTGGGAAGGAGAAATGGGGTCATACCTGCTAGCCCAAGTCCTGAAATCTTTTAACACCATTGTAAAAGATTCAGTTTCTGTTCAATGTTCACAAAGCCTATGCTCATTTTGCACTGAAAAGATTACCTGATAACATGAAACAGAATGTGTAGTGTACCAAAGTATAGTCCGTATGCATGTGATGTACAGCAAAGTTGTAGAACCTTTTCTATTCGAAAGCCAGAGTGAAAATAGCTTGACAAATAATCAAATAATAAATTAAACATGGATCCTTGAATTGTGAAAGGAGCTTGTTTGCTTTCATTTATAAGCATGTTACACCAGTGTGCAGCAAGATAGAATCCAAGTTTCAAAATATTAATTTTTAATTTATTTCTAGAAAAGACTCTTTTCATTTTATATTAGAGAGGATGTACTCAATCATACTTACCTTCATTGCGTCAAGGGCCAACTTTAGATTTGCCTTCTCAATTATGTCATTAGTGTGCTTTACCAGCTCCTATATCACAGAATGCCATAGTTATTATCAACCAATTATAATGGAAAGAAAGTCAGAAAATTATGGATATGCTATAATCAATGTAGCTCAATCTAAAGCAGTTATTATATTGCCATTATTCAAAGTTATTCCAAAGTTGTGTTTTGTTTTTTTTCTTTCTCAGCTCACCAATAAATCTAGAGATTTTTTAAACAGACTTTTAGCCAATGTTATATTTCAGGTTTTATGTTTCGGTTTCAGCTTTTCTGTGTCAGCATAGCAATTATTTCAGTACATTGGTTAAATTTCCTGGAAATGTGTCCATGACCCCAGATTAACATGATCAAACTGCTTCTAATTCATCTTTTATTTAGATGTACATATCCTATTCTCTGTAAAATACATAATCTAAATGCCCAACCCCAATTAAAAAAATGTAGAAATTTTATATTTGTACTAACACTAATCTACACTTAAAGCTCAATAAAGATATGTGGATTGTGACTAGTAAATGAATATGAAATATCTGATAATACTATAAGCTTCCAATGATGTACTGGAATATATTAGTCATATTAATGCTCAAATTTATTGTTTATCTGCTCATGTTTCAGTATCTGCACTTTATTTTCTTCTTTGTGTTACTTATTCTATATATTCTTTCACAATGCGTAAGAAAAAAAAAGTAGTATCATTTCTGAAAGTTTTACCAACTGGGAAAAATCAGCAGCATGATACTGATTTTTATTCAAATGAGCATTTTAAAATAAAAGTTATGCTCCATTATCTTTGTTAAAATCATAACAGAACTTTCTGCAAAGAGTAATATGTCAATTACAAATGCAGTTAAAATACATAAAATACATGGGACTGCATGTAACAAGGCACTACAGAAACAAAATACTGCTTCTTGCATTGATAGAAGCTCTTTTCAAAATGACACTTTATAAGTAGGAGCAATGCAGACAATCTAATGCAATAGTGTAGTTCTCTGCGGCTGTACTAATGAGTCCCCCAGCAAAGATATCAAATGATATTTAGAAGATTCTCTAGTTCCATTATAGTACTAACTGCACAGGAGCTGTGCACTCTGGGAGTTGTAATGGGAAGTGTTCTCAGTACAAATGGCATTATTATAATCCAGCACAGAACAGAAGTAACCTAGGAGTGACTGCTTCCTGTTCAGCCTTGATTACGTATGTACAGTTAAAAAAAAAACACATTTCACCTATTATCTAAGATCAGTATATGGTATTGATTTATACTATTAAAAAAAGACTGGAAGCTATTGTGAAATCAACTGAATTCCAATAGTATTGGGCTGGGTGGAGAATCTTTTTCGACAAAAATTAAATACCTGAAGTAGCAGATGATATTTCAGAACTCGTTGCATTGGAACCACAAGGAGATCCCGCAGAGTAAATTTCCCATTATTAGCTCTTTTGGAACATTCCTAATTAAAGAATAACCAAAAACTGAATAAATAAAATGTCTCGAGGTGATTCTGGAACATAATCAAAATGGCAATGTTATTTTTCATAAGATAGGAGACATGTGTCTCAAACTGCACCAACTATTCAATTATATTGAATTTTGATTAAGTTTGAATACTGGGGTCCTCAGATTAAGTCTTCTTCCTCACCCAGCCCACAGTTTTGTAATTCAAAGATCAAGCACAATTCAAAAAAGACTGAGCAGGTCTGGCTTAGAAGAAATCATTGAGTTATGATCTGGTCGGGATTACCAGAAGCAAGTGTGGATGATTAAAATTTTAATTTCAGTCTCTCCCCTTCAAATCTTCCATCCCATTTATAGGGATTTAAGACAAAAAAATAATAATTTCCACATCTAATTGTAATTTATAAATGCAAAGATTTC